GGGCAACCCTACCCATCGTCTATACAAAAAATTTTTGGCTGATGCTGAATCAGTGTGTTTTGATTGCGGTGCGACTTTTTAATTTTTAATTTGTGTACTGGGTATGGTATCTGTGACAGAAATTTAGGGCAGAGCAGGATGCTCGCGCATGTATACGTAAAGGTGATAAGAACCATGCTGCACACCATTTGCGGCAGAAGAAGCGGGCTCTTAGAGAAGTGGAATCGAAAGATAATCAGTACCAGCGACTTCTGGAAATGATGCAACAGCTAGGGCAAACCAAACAGAATAAGCAAATTTTGGACGCTTACAAAGCTGGTGCAAACGCATTCAAGGCAACTCTACAAAGGCAAGGCATTTCTCCAGAGCAGGTTGGAAGTTATTCTTTTCTTGCTGCTGTAAATATTCCAAATTGTTTTATTACGAGTAGACTGGAACCTCTGCGTTTAAAACATATGTTGTCGCCTTGTTGTTTGTGTGTGCGTGTATGTGTGTGTTTGTTTGTGTGTGTGTATGTGCATGTGTGTGGTTCACCAAGTGCATTTTTTTTTCGCGTTTTCAACTCAGAAACCATTTGTAAGCTAGGAAGCCGAAGTTTAAAGGGAAGGTTCCTTGCCTACATGCGAATCAGCAGATTTAAATTTAGCTTTGTCGTACATCTAGGTCCCAAATACGGTTATGTGAAGGTTTTGGCAGGAACACTGCTTACCCGGGAGCCAGAAAAGCTAGGAAACTGAAATTTTAGGAGGATATTCCTTGCACACGTAACAGTCCCCAAATTTATACTCAGCCCTCACGTAGACGCAGGTCTTGCATACGGCGAAATAAAAGTTTTGGTAGGAAATCTTTTAGCTTGAGAATCAAAAGAGTTGAGTGTTAGGTAGTGGAAATTTATATTTGTAGAGTTAGATCTTTAGGGAGGTACGCGCCTTGCCTCCGACTATGGGTTGATAATCTGTGATTTTGACTAACGATAAGCATATGCTGTTGTATTAGCGTGTGTAATAAAGTTACCCTAACGCGGTCGTATCGTCTCGTCAAGATCGACCTCACATTCAGTGGTCCAGCGTACAGTCTTCGCTCCTTCCACCTCTTCATTTTCGGCCCAAACATTTCGATGTTGGGAATAACGATGTAACACTGAGAAGCTGAAATGAGGGGTATGTTCAGTGCCTACATTCAATCCGAAGGCTTCGTACTCAGCTTTCAAGCGTGTCTGGATCTAATGTATAGACACATGAAATTTTGACGGACAGATTACTAATCCAAGAACCAGAAAAATCCCATGTGCGACTCTAAAAATTTTAGACTTCCCACATGCGCCTGCGTTTACATAGGGACACGCGCCCTCTAACGGGAAATTTTTCAGCTCCGGAACCAGGCGGAACAAAAAACTGAGATTTCAGGAGACGCTTCCTGGCTAGGTATGACATCGAAAATTCTAGCTTCCGTTTTCATATATGCCTAGATCTCGCATACGCACGTATAAAAATTCCGGCCGATCAGAATGTACAGACCATTTCTGCACACACACTAAAAAATAAAACGGTGCACACCTTTAACGGCAAGTGTCCACTAACCAGAGCTACACAAACGCATGTTTGCATCAGCTATTTTTATCCTTTTAGCTGTTTGGGCTTTGTGGCCAGTAATCCGGGGCACTCAGACGGCTGAGAAAATGCACTTGATGTACAAAAGCATTTACATCGATTTTATTGGTTGCGGTCTTGGTAATTCATCAATGCACTTCATGTTACAATGTTTTTATTGCCTGTTGTTAAGCAGTTTGTTTTATAGGTTGACGAAACGATGGACAGCATCAGCGATGCGATGGCAACTGCTGAAGAGATTCAGGATGCGATTACAGCCGGTGCACCGCAGATTGAC